ATAAGTCAGTCAACAATTTTTTGAAAGAAATAATTTCATAGACTAAACTCTGCAGCCCTTTCGCATACGAATGGCCCTTTGGAAGCCAGTAGGCTACAGGATCAGGCCTTAAAAACCAAAGAAATGGGAGTGTACTGAGCCCAGGGCAGCAACATGGCCACACTCTGACACAGAAGAGGAAGGCCCCTCTAAGACCCCCCCCCCCTTGGTGGGTGAGTGCACCCTCCCCTAGCCCCAGCCACAGGAAGCCAGTGGGTGGGACTAGCAGTATAAGAGCTGGGAGCTCAGTCAGAGCCAGGCAGCTGATCAGGGCAGATGCTTGACTCCAGCTCACGGCTCAGCTGTACTACCCCTGATGGAGGACTGGGTTGGACAGCCATGACCTCTGCTGACTTCTGATCTCTGGCCTGGGCTTCTGAGGTTCCGGCCACTACCAAGAGGCCGCACCAAACCTGCAGGGACCCTCATCAGGCCCAGATGATTGGTCTGGCCCACCTGGACCCCTGCTAGAGCCCAAACCGATGGATACTCTGCCAGCTCCTCCGTCACCAGCAGACCTGCCGGAGCCTGGTAGCCCCACAGGGAGAACTGGGAAGAGGCCCAGGGATAGCCGACCCTGGGATGGCCGAGGAGATGGAGGTTGGGTGGGCAGCGCATTGCGGCCTGGAACCCCGCTGACCCCTCAACATAGTTAGCATTTAAGGGCCCAGACCCCTGCCGACTTAGTGGCTACAAGGCCATTACTATCAGGGCCCTGGGCCGGGAGGCAGTGATGCAGGCGGGCCTGTGTCCCCCCTGCCACTCCTCCACAGTGGCAGTCCCCCTGTAAGGGAAAAACCCCTGAGCTTGTCGGCTCTCCAGCAGTGAGGAGACCTGACCCCTACCCAGCTGGGACTCCGCCGGGGCTGTAAACTGCTACACTGCTCGTGATGGACACTTGTCGCCCTAACCCAGGGCTGTGTCTTAAGCCGTGAACTACTGACCAGTTTATGTTAATCCCTTGTCTGCCTGCCCATCCTGACGAAGGGTTGGGCCCTATAAACTGTCCCTCAGCCAAAGGCTAGGCTGAGGCCTGCGGCCTGAACTTGTGGGCCCTGGAGGAAGTCAGTGCAGCTGCTTGCTGACAGTGGACCCTGTACACGGAGGTAGAAATATTTGGGAAGATATATTTTATGAGAATTTATTTCATCAAGTGGCCAGGAAACCATGAGACTGAGTGAGCATTCATTTAACATTATTGGAGAGGGTTAATTTTGTTCATCTCTTTAAAAAGTGGCAAATTAGTCCAAAAATCCTTAAGACCTTTCATATGAAATATATAAGACCAATGCTGAAATAGCAATTTAAAGTGGTAGGCCACTCAACTGGAATTGCTAGAATGTATTAGCAGCCCACTGCCATGTACATACCCAGAGCTTCTATGGATTTAAAAAAAAATACACATTGCAGAGAAATATAGCTTTGCACCATAAATAACATTGTGTTCATTTCAGTCTGAGCACCCCAGAAGCAGTCACAGTTCGAAAGCAAACCTCTTGCTACTGAATATTCTTCCATTCTACTCTGTGCTGATTAGACCTCAAGTGGAGAACTTACAGTTCTGGGCACCACATTTCATGAAAGATTTGGACAAACTGGAGAAAGTCTAGAGACTAGCAACAAACATTATTCAAGGTCTAGAAAACAGCACCTATGAGAGAAAGTTGAAAAAACTGGGCTTGTTTAGTCTGGAGAAAAAAAGACTAAGATGGGACATAAGTTTACAAAGTACATAAAAGATTGCTACATGGAAGCAATTCTGTTCTCCTTCACTTCAGAGGATAAGAACTTAAATTGCAGCAAGGGTGGCTTAGGTTGGACATTAGGAAAACCTTCCTATCAGGGTGGATAAGCACTGGAATAAGTTTTCTAGGCAATTTATTCGAGTGAGCATCTGAGATTTTTAAGAGCAAGTTAGATAAATGTCTGTCAGGGATGGTCTAAATAATGCTTGAGTGCAGGGGACTGGATTAGAAAGTCTCTTCTGATTGCCTCCAGTCCTACAATTTTTTTATTCTATTACTTTCAAATAGAGGATTGGTGTGATATAGATGATTTGTAACTTTTCTAACATTAATAAAAGCAAACATGTTTCCTAATCCCACAGATTTGCCAAGAAAATTGCTTTAAAGCCAAACAAACCATTTCAGTTTTAGTAGAAGACATTTTTTGAGCAGCTGTCTCCAGAAGAATTAGAGGTGAGGATGGTAAAAGTTAATGAAGATTTGCATTCAGTGAGCCAGCTTCTGATCTCAAGTACATCAGTATAACTCCACAGGAACTGGATTTATACTGGGGTAAGAGCAGATTCTATCCTACTGTGCTCAGGGATGAAATCTCTGGGCACTAGGGGCAATATACTAACAAAAAGGGGAGACTTGGGTGAAAAGACTGACAGTTCAGAGGGTAGTAATTAAGGTCTTCAAATTGAAAGGCTGAAAAAAAATTTCACTAAGCTTTTAAAACATTCTTGAAATACTGAAGGCTGCAATGCCCCTAGCAAGCAATTCCTTCACCAGGAGTGTAAAATGTACAAGCCTTTTGCCTAATCTAGCAATCACTATTTGCTCACACACTGTCATTAAAATCTAACTTTAAAAACAGGTAGCCCTACGGCACCCGAGGTTAACCAATATATGGAGAGAATTGTGAGCTTTCATGAGCAAAACCCAGTTCATCCGATGAACTGAAGTGGAAACAACAGATATATAGGCTGTGTCTAGATTTACATCCCTGTCGAAAGAGGGATGTAATTAGGGACTTTGAAATAACAAATGAAGCCAGGATTTGAATTTCCCGCACTTCATTTGCATAATCACATAATGGCGCTATTTCGAAAGTTTATTATAATTACATGATTATGCAAATGAAGCATGGGAAATTCAAATCCCGGCTTCATTTGCAATTTCAAAGTGCCTAATTTACTTCCCTCTGTGGAAAGAGGGATGTAATCTAGACGTACATATATATACACATGTGCAGATCGCCCGAACCCGGCTCTTCCGGGTTGTAATCTACTCACCATGGGCGAGTAGATTACAGAGATTGTTGAGCCCTGTACGTACGCACGCACACACACACACAGAGTAGAAGTATGTGTCATTTATAGGACCCGTGTTAATGGGGCTACCGTCATATGTGGTGATACTTTGCATTTCTATTGCACCTGTCAGAGGATCTCACAGCAACTTCAAACATTAAGCACCACAAGAATTCCTTGCCTTACATTTGTGTGTTCTTTGGTTCAAGAAGTTTCTGTGCCTTGTCCTAGGTCACTCAGAGTAGCCTCAATAACAGAGCCTCAAGGCTCCCTTTTGTCTGGGTATTGGCTGTAAACCACTAGCCAAAACAGTGTTTTCTTCTGGATCTGAGATATATTCACAGTACATCTAGTTTCTCTTAGTATTCCATATCTAGAAATGCACCAACTGTTAAAAGCAGAAGTAGAGTACTGGATCACTTGAAGATTTTTTCCAGCATGTGTGGGCTGCATTCTCATGATGAAACCAGAATCTCAAAGCCTCTGGACTTGCCACAGAAGTGCTGTCAAAAGTTAGATTATAACAGTGCCCAGCAATGCCATAATATCTGCAAAGTCTGATGCAAAACCAGGGATTCTCCCCTCTTTCTCAGGAGAAAATCTGATTGGAATACGGTAAACCATTTCCTGGCACCAACTGTGTAAGCTAAGATAGTGTTTCAGGTCCACAGCAAGTGTAAATTGGCAAAATTCTACTGAAGTCAATGGAGCTATGGTGATCGACCCCAGCAGATGACCTGGACCTTTTTGCCCGGGTAACAAAAAAAGACTGTGCAGGATTAAGCTTGGCAAAAGCAAGCAGCTAGCCTCCAAATGTACATACCACAGATGGAGCTTAAGAAAGGAGCTTGGCGTTTTACCCTGGCTGTTAGCACTGCAACACCAAATACAACTCCATCCCCAGTTTGAACTGGCTCATTTTCATGCTAGAATGGTTCACTGACCCAGAGTGAGAGACTTCCAGAACATTACATCAGTGCATCCAGAGGCTTCTCGTTTGTTCCCAGGGAAGTAGAAAATGTAGCAGTCGAAACATTAAAAAGGGAGAAACTAAAATCACTGAAGCCCCAGGATTGATGAAGTCACTCCTCTCTCCCAGGCAGCTCACTGAGGCCAAGTAAAACACTTATTAATGACAACCTTGAGCAAGACCTTGTACAGTTGCTTACAAAAATGAAAACAAGGCTTTCCGAATGAGAGTCTTTTCAATATACAGTAAACTTCCGATAATCCAGCACCTTTGGGACCCAGGAGGTGCCGGATTATTGGATATGCCAGAGTATCAAGAGGTACTCCAGAAGGGGGGCTGTGAGGTGTCTGGGTGGGGATGGGGTCAGCGGGGAATGGTGCAGCGTGGGGTGCACCCTGCACCATTATGCAGGGAGGCAAGGGAAGCCCCGCGCAACCACTGGTGACAAGCAAGCTGGGGCTGCAAGCAGCAGCGGTGACTTGGGGAAGCAGCGGGCAGAGCAGCTGGGGTGCTGCCCAGTTGGTCCCTCAGTGCCGCCCCTCATCCCCCTGCTCGGCGCCCGGCAGCACCTCAGCTGATCTGCTCTGCAGCTTCCCCAAGTCCACTGCTCATCAGTTTCAGCAGCGGCCGAGGCAGGGGGGCAGAGCCACTGGGGGGGCGCCGG